AAGAGACGACCACCACGTGACGAACATCAACACGATGGTGCACACGTGATCGACGAGACGCCCAAGAGACGACCCCCACGTGACGTCGATGGTGAGTCCAGCGATATAGAAGTTGAATAAGCGTGGACTGTACCACACTTAAACATGCCACAGCAGAAGGTTACGAGAGATATTATCAAAGTCTGTCCACATCTATCTGACATCAAGATCCCAATTGTCGACTCGAAGGATGTAACTATTCTCATTGGTGCAAATGTGGTTGAAGCTATTCTTCAGCGTGAAGTTAGACGTGGCTCGCCAGGACAACCCGTGGCTATMAGGACAGCATTTGGATGGACGTTAGCAGGCTCCATAAAACCATTCGTTAACCCAGAACGTCTTCATGTCATGCATGTACATCGGGTACTAAACGTCGAGGAAAAACTTCTTGATTAAGTTGAAAGATGGTGGCGAACGGATTCCTTTGGTACAAAGTACGAACATAAAACACCGAGATCTAATGAAGAGAAGAGGGCATTGGAGACGTTAGAGAAAACGGTCAAGCTCGTCGGCAACCATTACGAGGTTGGAATGCTATGGAGAGATGACAATGTACAGTTCCCGGATAATTGGAGTATGGCTGAGAAGAGACTCAAATCTACGGAGAGACGCTTGCAACGTGATGATACTCTAGCACAAAAGTACTGTGACATCATCGATGGGTACGTTGATAAAGGCTAYGCCCGCAAACTTACCGCGGGGGAGTCCAGAGAAACAGAGAAACAGTTGTTTCTTTCACATCATCCAGTCCTAAACCCAAGCAAGCCAGGAAAGGTACGCATGGTGATCGACGCAGCAGCCAAACACGAAGGATTCTCTCTTAATGACAAGCTACTCACCGGACCTGACTTACTAAACAGTCTCACGGGTGTACTGCTMRGGTTTCGTGAGTATAAAGTGGTAATGTCAGCAGACATCGAAGCCATGTTCCATCAGTGTAACATTGTCGAGAGCGACCAAGCAGCATTAAGGTTCTTGTGGCGCAACCTTGAACGTAATCGACCACCTGACATTTATCAGATGCAAGTTATGATCTTTGGAGCAGCCTCGTCTCCTTGTACGGCTAATTACATTCTCCGTTAGACTGCAGATGACAATCGCCATGACGACTCATTCTCCTCAGAGGCCATTAACACAGTACACAGCACCTTTTACGTTGATGATGTGCTCAAGTCCGTTCCTGATGAATCTAAAGCCATTCAGCTTCAAAGGGAACTCACTGAATTGCTAGCTCGACCAGRATCTACCAATGGAGCGTAACCCAGGCCTAAAATGGAACACTGAGACAGATGCGTTTAGAATTTCGACTTCATCCCACAAGGAACACAAAGTAACCAAGAGAGRAGTTCTAAGTCGTGTCTCAACCGTATTTGATCCCCTGGACGTACTGCTGCCATTCACTCTACMTGCGAAGTGTCTAATACAGACCCTATGGAGAAAAGGGATGGATTGGGATGAACCGCTGCCCGTCGAAGACGTATCTGGAGGGCGTGGTTGTCCGACCTACCAAGGCTAGAAGAGCTTGAGCTTCCACGCTGCTTCTGCAAAGAGATGTGCGTTGATTCGACAGTTCAGTTACACATATTCCGTCCTGGGCCCGGTTCTCTATCTCCTCTACACTTCTCCTGTCGCTGATATTCTCCGGAAGCATAAAATGTCATTTCATTTCTATGCTGATGACACTCAAATCTACATTCCTTTCTCCTGTAATGATGAAAACGCCTTGGATGCTGCCTTAAACAGTATTAAAGCTTGCCTCTGTGATATTGATCTCTGGATGACTATCAACAAACTTAAACTGAATAAGGACAAAACTGAATTTCTTATTTTTTCGTCTAAGCACTCTCTATTGAGCTCCTCACCGGTAATCAGCTTTGGCTCTGAAATAATTCATCCCTCCTCTTGTGTTCGTAACATTGGTGTTCTTTTTGACTCTTCTCTGTCCTTGGCTAATCACATCAAAATGACCTGCAAATCCTCTTTTTATCATCTTCGAAACATTTCAAGAATCAGAAAATTCCTGTCTGTTAAATCTACGGAAATCCTTGTTCACTCGTTCATATCATCTAAACTTGACAATTGCAACTCTCTACTATATGGCCTCCCTAAATATCTGATTGATCGTCTACAAGCTGTCCAAAATGCCTGTGCTCGTCTTGTCATGCTTTCTAAAAAACATGACCACATTACACCTCTGCTTATCAATCTTCACTGGCTTCCTGTCTCCGCACGTATCAAGTTTAAAATTCTCCTTCTGACTTTTAAAGCTCTTCATGGCCTGGCTCCTATTTATGTTCAAGATATGCTTAAAAACTATCGTCCTTCTCGTTGTCTTCGTTCGTCGTCTCAACTGTTACTGTCTTCCAAGTCTTACAATCTTAAAAGTTATGGTTATCGTTCTTTTAGTGTTGCTGGACCTTTTCTATGGAATTCACTGCCATCTTCAATCAGAGACATTTCTTCACTTGACAATTTTAAAACTGCTCTCAAAACCTTCCTTTTTAAACAAACTTATGATCTGTAACTCTATTTTAACTTTCTTAATATCTTAATTTTTACCTTTTTATTTGCGCTTAGAAAAAGTTTTATAAGCGCTTTATAAGCTTAGATTATTATTATTATTATTATTATTANNNNCCTTTCTCCTGTAATGATGAAAACGCCTTGGATGCTGCCTTAAACAGTATTAAAGCTTGCCTCTGTGATATTGATCTCTGGATGACTATCAACAAACTTAAACTGAATAAGGACAAAACTGAATTTCTTATTTTTTCGTCTAAGCACTCTCTATTGAGCTCCTCACCGGTAATCAGCTTTGGCTCTGAAATAATTCATCCCTCCTCTTGTGTTCGTAACATTGGTGTTCTTTTTGACTCTTCTCTGTCCTTGGCTAATCACATCAAAATGACCTGCAAATCCTCTTTTTATCATCTTCGAAACATTTCAAGAATCAGAAAATTCCTGTCTGTTAAATCTACGGAAATCCTTGTTCACTCGTTCATATCATCTAAACTTGACAATTGCAACTCTCTACTATATGGCCTCCCTAAATATCTGATTGATCGTCTACAAGCTGTCCAAAATGCCTGTGCTCGTCTTGTCATGCTTTCTAAAAAACATGACCACATTACACCTCTGCTTATCAATCTTCACTGGCTTCCTGTCTCCGCACGTATCAAGTTTAAAATTCTCCTTCTGACTTTTAAAGCTCTTCATGGCCTGGCTCCTATTTATGTTCAAGATATGCTTAAAAACTATCGTCCTTCTCGTTGTCTTCGTTCGTCGTCTCAACTGTTACTGTCTTCCAAGTCTTACAATCTTAAAAGTTATGGTTATCGTTCTTTTAGTGTTGCTGGACCTTTTCTATGGAATTCACTGCCATTTTCAATCAGAGACATTTCTTCACTTGACAATTTTAAAACTGCTCTCAAAACCTTCCTTTTTAAACAAACTTATGATCTGTAACTCTATTTTAACTTTCTTAATATCTTAATTTTTACCTTTTTATTTGCGCTTAGAAAAAGTTTTATAAGCGCTTTATAAGCTTAGATTATTATTATTATTATTATTATTATATTTGCCGATGCTTCAGAGAAGAGCTTTGGCGCTGTCTGTTATGCAAGATTTGTACTCCCAACTAACGTTTCATTCGTTATGGCAAGGAATCGGATGGCTCCGCTCAAGCAATTGAGCATCCCGCGTCTTGAACTTCAAGCGGCTGTATTAGCCGTCCGTTTGAACAGCATCATCAGAAAGGAGCTCACGATCACGATCGAAAGTACTCCCTACTGGAGTGATTCCAGCACCGTGCTAAAGTACATAAGAAATGAGAGTCGTCGCTTCCATACATTTGTGGCCAATCGGGTGTCAGAAATTCATGACACTTCGGATCCASCAGAATGGAGGCACGTACCTGGCAAGCTTAATCCGGCCGATGAATGTACTCGTGGACTCTCAGCGTCTGAACTGAATCAACAATGCAGATGGCTGAATGGTCCTCYYTTCCTTTGGCAGCCTTCAGAAGACTGGCCATTAGAGACCCCAGTCGAAGCGACACTGAATGATCATGATGAAGAGGTAAAGGTGGACAAGTGGACAGGGCTTAACGKAAAATCAGACGTTCATCTACCGGTGGACCCCAAGAAGWTCTCATCCTGGACTAGATATCGTCGGGTGATCGMTTGGATCTACCGCTTCATCCAGAACTGCAGACTGAAGCTGCAATGCCGAGTGTATGGACCACTAACTACTACTGAAATTCGTAAGGCTGAACTCTTTGCGGTGCGAAGAAGTCAAGAAGAAGCATTTGGGTCAGATCTTCAGGCTCTAAAGGCAAACAAGCCACTACCAACAACCAGTACTCTTCACACTCTAAGACCATATGTTGATGTTGATGGATTCTGCGTGTGGGAGGCCGCTTGAAGAGATCTCCAGTCCCTGATCTTGTGCGTCCTCCTCTAATATTGAGTAGAAAGCACGATGAACCGCCCACCGGTTAGCTCAGTAGGTAGATCATCGGACTTTAGTGCGGGAGGTCGCAGGTTCAAACCCCGGCCGGACCAACACTCAGGGTCTTAAAAATAATTGAGGAGAAGTTGCTGCCTTTGTCTTTCTCCATCTGCAAATGGTAAGATCTTCTCGTCCTCTCGGATAACGACGTAAAATCGGAGGTCCCGTCTCTCTACACTTCACTCACTAACCTGTATTAGAGGGACGTTAAAGAACCCACACCACTGTTCGCATAAGAGTAGGGAATGATTCCCGGTGTGTGTGGCTAGGCCTTACTATTAACCCATACTAATTACTAATCCCTCATGATTGAAAGCCGCSTGGCTGCCAATTGCGCCTTAAACAGCGGTCCGTGTGAAATGATCTATACATGTGAAGCGCCTTTGAACTCAGAGGATATCGGCACTATATAAATAGCACATATTATTGTTATTGTTATTGTTATTGTTATTGTTATTATTATTATTAGGACATCGAGCAGAGCGTACACGCTCTGTACATGTCTATAGTTTTAATGTCCTTAAATACTTGAATTGACATTTTCATTTGATTATCTTCATCCAGTTGGATTTATAATCTTTAAATCATGGAATATCCGAAATTTTTTATCATTTTTATCATTGGAGTTGTCTGTTCTTTTTGCGGTCAAGATTTTGTCTCACTGGGCCGCCATGCGTGGCGTTGCAAAGACAGAATTCATCGAGAGGAACGTCCCATTATACGAGAAGAAGAAGTGCAGAATACTAACAATACTGTTTGCTACGTTAAATGCTGTTGTGGAAAGCTTTGCAAAGGGAATAGGGGTTTAAAAATGCATCAAAGGAGTTGTAAAGTTGTTACGGGTTTGAACGATCAACTACGTGCTGACCTTGATGCCACAGCTGATCAAGAATCTGCAGCCGAAAATCGAAATCCAAATGTTAATTTAAATAATACTGAAGTTCCTTTAATTCAACCTGAAGACTACAGTTTTCCTAATATTAAAAAAGGAATAAATTTGCCCAAAACAGAAGATCAATGGTCAACGGCTAACGATTATTTCAAATCAGTTCTAATTTTGAATCTTCCAATCACAGCTCAGAACCTCAACTCAAGCATCAAACTTTTGAATGATACCATTTATGAATACTTTTCTACTAACTTTGGTCAAGTCTCACAAGTCATTGATGAAAATCTAAAAAATAAATACAAAGATCAGTCTAAAAAAGACCTAAAGAAATCTCTCAAAGCCTTAAAATGCTCTAACGCCGAAACTACGGAAATTCAATATGTATCTCGCCTATTGCGTGACAAGCTAGCTAGTAACAAGCTTTCAAATGCCAATGCTGAAACTGTAAATCATGATTATTCTATTGCTAAAAACTTTTGGGGCTACGTCAAGAAGGTCTTTAACAAGAAAGATGAAATTCTTCCCTCATTCTCTATGAATGAGTGTTTTAATTACTTTGCAAGGTCTCTTTCATCAGTTAACCCAACAAAAGTCTTTAATTTTCCTTGCTGGATTCCAACTTTATCTGATCCTGATATTCCGTTCAACCTTGAACCTCCAACATACGAACAGATCTCAATTGTTATTAGAAAGATGAAAGCTTCTGGTTCTCCATGTCCTTTAGATCAACTTTCAATCATTTGTTTCAAAAGATGTTCTTTCCTCCGTACTTATTTATATGAAATTATCCGTACCGCGTGGAAAAGTGGATCTGTCCCAAGTGAATGGAAACAAGCCTGCACAATTCTTATTCATAAAAAGGGGAACACTAATGACCCTTCTAACTTTCGTCCTATAACTCTGCAATCGGTGCCATTAAAGGTTTTTACCTCCTGTCTTCGTAATTCCATCTTCAAATTCCTTGTTGCTAATAATTTTATTGAGCACGACATTCAAAAAGGTTTTACACCAGGTCTTTCAGGAACTTTTGAGCACACAGCTCAAATGGCTCACATCATAAATAAAGCTCGCATTAAGCAACGCTCTCTTGTCATAACTCTACTTGACCTGAAGAATGCCTTTGGTGAAGTCCATCATAACTTAATTCAAGCAGTCCTTGATTACCACCACATTCCCGATCACATCAAATTTATGGTTAAAAGCTTGTACACTGATTTCAAAACGTCAATAATTACTGATAATTTTAACACTCCTTTCATTCCAATTGGACG